ATTTCACAAACCTCTCCCCCCCCCTCCCTTCCGTTTCACTCCCCTGTTTCCCCCACCCTCCCCTTCCTGACCACCCTTTCTCTCCCAGCACTCGGCAACAATCAAATGTGCCCTCTTTGTCCCCACACACTCAATTAAATGCCCCCAGCAAATGGCCAGTTTCGAAGCCCCCAGACACTCCACCAAGAATCGGCCACACTCAACCACCCTTGAAGGCCACTATGGCCCCAGTTTCTCGGCTTGCCATGCAGCCCCTGTGTTGCCCATATCCTCATGGTCCCCCCCACCCCCTCCTCAACCCACTCCCTATCCCACCTGGACTCGACCACTGACTGTTTGGCATAAGCTTAAGTTCACGGGTCATCTAGTCATCCATTCAGTACTCCAAGCCAGCTCCACGTGCCACTCTGAGCCCTCACTCTCCGCTCTGCCACCTCGCCGCCCACCTTGTAGCCCCCGCTCCCCTCCCTGTTTCTTCCCCCCTCTTCTCCTCCCCTGCCGCCCCTGCACACATGACCAATACGCCACGCTCGGCTGTCCCTGGGCTTATTTCCCTCAGCACTCGTCCGTCCCCCCTGTGCACCTCCTGCCTGCCCCCCTCCTCTGCTGCATGCAGCGCTTGTCCCCTTGCTCCCCGCACGCAGCATAAAGTCCAACTGCTGGGCGGCATGCAGCAGTTAACATCCCCCCTGCACCCATTACTACGTCCACACCACCTCATTCCCGCTGCTTCACTTGCCCGAAACACCCAACGCACCAACCCCCTCCTCCTTTCCCCCACGCACCATCACGTCAAAGTCCAAACCATGCTCCGGTTTGAACGCGAGCTGCACGCAGCAGTAGCCAACCCCCCTGCACCCACTCCATTGTACACAGCACCTCAGTCTCCCCCCCTCCACATCATCTCTCCCCCCATTCCCTTGCACCCACCATGACGTCAAACTGTTCGGGCTTGGAGACGAGCTGCATGCAGCAGTTGTCGATGATGACCTCGTTGTAGTTGATCTGCGGGTACGCCTTGGACACTCACCCACTGCATTGTACACACCACCCCATTCCCCTGCACCTACACCACTGCAGTCCCCTTCCCCACGCACCACCCTTCCACCACCTCATCTTTTCAACCCAACAACCCACCATGACATCGAACTGTTCGGGCTTGGAAACGAGCTGCATGCAGCAGTTATCAATAATAACTTCGTTGTAGTTGATCTGCGGGTACGCCTTGGACACCTCACGGCACGACTCCAGGAACTGCCCGTCCGCGAGCTTCATGATGTTCGCCTTGTGCACCGCCGTCACCGTCTTGCGGTTGTTCAGATACGCGTACTCGAACGCGTATTTCGCGATGCGTTCCGAGCAGAACTTGGTAATCACCTGGGCGGAACCCCGGAGGGGGTAAGGGGGAAGGCGGAAGGGGGGAGGGGCTATGCGGAATGAGCGAGGGGGAGAGAGCAGGCGGGAGGGGAAGGAGGAGAGAGGCGGCACGAAAGGGAGGAGGGACTGGCCGTCGGCGAACTTCAGAATGTTTGCCTTGTGCACGCATAATCTGAGCCGCTTCAGCACCACGTGGCATACCTTGAGGCTCTCGACAACCCCGGGGGTGACTTCGTGCTCGAGTTCGCTGTACTCGCACTCCGTGTTCTCGCGGGTCACTTTTGAGTCGACTCAGAGTCCCCTCGCGTGCCATACCTTGAGGCTCTCGACGACCCCGGGGGTGACCTCGTGCTCGAGCCCGCTGTACTCGCCCTCCGTGTTCTCGCGGATCACCACGATGTTCACGTTGTCGTGCCGCGTCTTCAGCCCCGGGAAGTTACTGCAGTAGGCGAGATGCGCGAAAAGATCGAACTCCTTTCGCAGCTGCACCGTCAGCGAGCTGACTCCGCCTGCGACGGCCGTTCGCACGCCTCCCTTGATCCCCACCTGCACCGAAAGTGGCGATCGGCCGTTCCCATGAAATAACAGAAAGAAGACATTAAGCGCTTACCGACTGCCATTTCATGACAAGTCGCGAGATGGGGATGGTATGTGAATCGGGAACACAGGTTATTGGGATTGAAGCTGGGAATGCGAGGACATGTTATTTTTTTTGTTTGTTTATTTGTTTTTTTCTCAAACAAAAGTCTGACCTTGTTTCGGCGGAGCGAGTCGAGGACCTCATTGGGCACGGTGAGCATGGTGCCCTTGAGATCGTACGTCTCGAACACCACGGGCGCGTGGATGGCTTTAAACACTTGCTCCACCGCGTTCGTGCACAGCGGTCCGGCTCCGTCTCCCGGGAGTAGCGTAACAGTGCGCGTCGCGCCCTCGCCCGGCTTGGGCATGTACGTGACGTTTCGAGTCGGCTGCAGGTTGAACGCGTTAAGCGCGGCCCTCGCGGCGTGTGATCTGGACCGCGACGCGATACGCGAGACGAGAGATGCCATTGTGGGTGGCGAGGAGTGAGTGGATCGGAAAAAGATGCGAGATGGGCGAGATCGATGATATCGATTGTGCGCGTGCAAGGACGCGTTGATCGGATGGTAGGAGATCGGACGGTGGGAAGGGATGTGCGGTGGGACGGGAGATACGATCAGGCGAAGGACGTTATGCGGAGGAGCGAAGCGGCGGACAAAGACGGAGCAAAGAGCGCAGCGACCCACTAAAGACCTGCTCGAGCCAGCTTCAATTAGCTTTTGGGAATATCAACTGAGGGTGGAGCAGACGAGCCAATTCAAGGTGTGACGGACTGATCCCGAGGCTAGGGCTCGTTCACACTAAGCCAGAACAAAAGAATCACAAACCTGGAGCGGGTCTTTCTGACTGTGAAAGGAACAGTGTGGCTTCAGGAAAACAGTTTTCGAGACGGTGAGGGATTGGTCCGTTTTCTAGCAGCCTGTATCACGTGGCAAATTCCTCGAGTATCATTCGCTAAAAATGAGGTGACATGGCGTTTGTCCTCACACTTGTGTCCCACGCTCAGGCCTGTCGCTTGCAGGGCATTTGCCCTGCTGGACCTTGAATTCCAGGGCTGGGTTTCCCTTGAAAACTGAAATTGATGGGTTGAGAAAATTGTGGCCCTGATTCATTACAGGGCTGATTTCGGCCTTAGGTCTGGAGTGTTAAGGGTAGATTTTAGGCGAGCCCTGGAACAAGTCTTTCGAACTCCCTCCCACTCCTCCCCACCCCCTCCCCCCCCAAACTCCTCCATTCCCCCTCCCCCCGTTTCTATTTTGATTGCATTCAAGCCTGTCAAATTTGGAGTTGCGTGGCTGGACCACAGATTCAACTCAACCAACAACTGGTACTTGTACCAATTACAACCCGCTCCCATCCCATGACACACAGACAGTAGCATGAACCAACATGTAGCAGCAAAACACATCTCAGATCCCCGTCATGTTGTGCACCCTCAGGCCTGAATGGGAATAGCAAGCAGCAAAACACATCTCAGATCTTTGCTAAGAGTTGGAAGAGGAGGAAGTCTGTTACGCGTGCGTAGTGAATGACGCTAACTAGTTTTTTTATTGCTAACTAGCTAATTTGATACTAGCGGAGTGCAGCTGTCAGCTTTGTGGTAGAACTGAGGCTGCAGAATTTTCCGCGGCAAACCTGATTTACAGGGAGGAATAAATTTCAGCCCTGAAGCCTAAAGGGCCGAGATTCGCCCCGACCCTGCTAAATACAGGGTCGTACATGCCGGGCCCCCTGATTTGTCCGGGGGAGCCAAAACGAAACGACAGCCCTGCCCACGCTCTATAAGAACGACCAGTTGAGGAAGGCAAGTCTGCGAGTGTAGGGTTAGTAAGTGGAATTGCTTCCAATCAATAATTGTACACCTCCCTCATACCTTATCACCCCAGATATCAGCCCCGATAACATTGAACGGGGCGATAAGACCAATGATGATTACACGCCCGTATTTTCTTCAATATATATTTATGATACAGGAACATGTAGTTCGTATTGAGTGAGCACACTTAGGAAAGGACTGATTTATATTTAGGCTGTAATTACATCCTCATTGTGCTTGTATCAATTCAACAGCCTATTATATATCATTCAAAGAGTTTAAAGTAGAGGAAGCGCAAATCCCATGAAATTTGCAGCTTTCCACGTGTCAGTCTGCTATTTCCTGCGTGTCAAGCCTGGCAAGGCCGAACCTTTCCATGGCGGCTCGGGTGGTCCCAAGCTTCAGCTCTCAAGACCTGGCGCTACGGCATTCTCGAAGCAGCAGGTCCCCATGGCGCCTCGAAAATGACACAGGCGGGCCATGGGGAATTCAATTACAGGCGTCTCTCTCACGGTTCTCCTCACATCACCTTATCCCTAGCTCCCAAGCCGCACTATACTCGATGCTCATCCAGACAAAAAGAGGCTCCTTCCTGCTGCTGCTCTCTAAGCCTGAATAGTCGACCCAGGGCCCCCACAGGACCACTCATAGCAGGCCCAAACCAGCCTCGGGTTCCGCACTTTTCCAGAGACTTGTTTCTGACGTCTCCTACTGTCACGTGCTCCTCGTGAAGTTTGTCATTCCCAATGCGCGTCAGTCTACTTTCTCTTCTCTTCCTCACTTGACGTCTCTTGGTTGCCTCTTTTTCGACCAGTCCGATCTCGAGTCAGATCTCGGCGTGATCGAGGGGAGCACAGCAGGGATCTCTACGGAAAGGAGATCGTAAAGGCCACTGCTTATCGGTCTTGAGCCTCTTCTAACAGCCGTGGATATCGGAGGATAAGGTTCTTTGGTTGGCATCCTCTGGATCTTACCGCTGAGGTAGATTTCTCGCGCCTTTGAGCATTCTTTGGAGATTTGCAATTTGGTCTCTACTTAATTTTCTCGCGCCTTTGAATCACCTCATTTTACCGTGCATTGAAGGATTCTGTGAAGACTCAAGGTTCTATAGTCGCTTGCCTTTCTGAGAACAGCGAGTATGTCTGTGACAGGGGTCCTCCATGTAATGGACGCGTCCGTGCCGCACACCCAAGTTCAGGAGCACGCGTCGACTGCAGCGGAGGCACTCATGGAGCTCGGATTCCGCTCGACTTCGTCGGAAGAGATTGACGACGATTCTGAGAGGACAGTTGAACGGGCTGTTGCTGAGCCCGAGTCAGGGAATGATGGTGCTGAGCGTGCAGATGAACGGGCGAATGAAACGGATGAGACCCCGACAGCTGAACCAACGGCTGGAGGCGGCACTGAAGCAATGACACCTCCAGGAGTGGAAGCGGCTATGCTGCGGGAAGGTGGCGAGGGAGAAAGAAATGAGTTTGACTCAGAGCACGGCGACTTTGAGAAGGATTTGCAGGCTCTAAACGTCGCGGAGGAGGATGGGGAGAACAATCAGGGGCGTGATCAAGAAGGGATGAACGATAAGATGGGTGGTGAGGAGAATTTTGGGAACGTCGCCACGACTGGGGAAAAGCAACGTAGCACGAAGGCGTCATCCTCGCCTGAGAAAGCATCACCCGCGCGTGGCCACATAGAGAGCGGCGTGCGGCGCGCGCAAGAGCACCACGTGGTGACGCGGAGCAGCAACAGCCCTCTCACTCCTGCCGGGGCGCAAACGCCGCAAACGGCGGAAGTCAAATCCGTGCAGACGCCTGCCACGCAGCCGCCGCAGCAGACGCAGTCCGGGCTGACGACCGTTCCTGGAGTGCCGATTCAGCCCCCCCTTCCGTTACATGGTAACCCTGCAAACCCAACCTGGCCGTTTTCCGCGAACCATCCTACCTCGTCCTCCGCTGGCCAAGGCCATCTCAGCCGCCAAACCGGTGTCAAAAGTCGCCTAGATGGCACTACTGGACCTCTGGTTTCCGATTGACACCCCCGTTGTTAGCTAATTCGATCATATCACCTGTCTCCTTCGCCTTGTGCGTGTTTCCCCTTGCCAGCTCCGGACGGAGCGCTGGTGTCGCTCGTCCCCGCCGCTTCCGAGGACGGCCAGCTCCAGTGGATCCAGCCGCCGCATTTCTTGGCGGCGCCGCAATTTATGGGCGGAGCGCAATTCATGGGCGGAGCGCAACTTATGGGCGGGGCGCAACTTGTCGGCGGGGCGCAAATTGTGGGCGCATCTGGACACGGCGGAGGGATGATGCCCGCAGGGCCGGTTTCGTTCTTCCGCGCGTCATCCTTCGCTGCGCCTGTGTCCGCGGCAACGGGTATTGAGGGAACCTTTATGGGAACCGATGGAGTCAACGGAGTCAACGCCACCGTGCGCGGCGTTTCCGGGGATCTGTTCGGCGGGAACGCGGGCGACGAGATGATAGAAGGCTCGTGGGACGATCTTATCATCTGCACTCCCACCGGCGGGTTTCCCGGCGGGTTTCACGGGCAGATGGGATGGGGAGGCGAGCGAACGAGCCGAGGAGGCCGCCGCACGCAGCTATGGGAGGGCGACCCGCAGCTGGTCTACCGGCTGCAACAGAGTTACCACACAGACGACTCCGCCGCCGCCGAGGTGAAACCCGACTTTTCAACGATTGCCATCCCCGGCGCCGAAAACGCTGCAATTAGAAGCGAATCGATGAGAGGCGACGGAGACGAGGAGGGGGGATTGCCCGCGGAAGCTCGAGGCAATCCGGAGACCGCCACGCCCCCAGCAATCATGGGACCAGAGTCCCGGGATGCCGTACAGTCGACGGCGACAATGGAGAGTTATCGAGAAAATATCGCGAGCGGTCAGTTGCCGCTGCACGTGAAAGTGGAGTTTCCGACGCCGTCGCCTAGAGGCGGACTAGCTTCCTCGTCGCCCAGCAATCGCGGCGGGCTGGGGTTCTCGTACCACTCGCCGATCCCGCTGTGCTCGCCGTCGCCGCTGCGACTGTGTGCGATGGAGCTGGGCGACATGGCGGAGCCGAATTTGTGGCTATCGCCGCCCGCGAGCACCAAGTACACGCTCGACAAGCGCGGCTACAGCGGTGAGTGCTGTGACGTGTCAGCATTTCAGCTAATTTTTCTTCAGGTATTTTCTCGTTTTTCTTTCTCCGTTAGTTGTGTATGGCAGCAGGCAAGCAATTCATTCGACTCATACGTCGTTTCGTGTGTCTGTTGGTTGGGTCGTGTGTGGCAGCAGCAGCCCTACCGTACCTGGATCCCGGCGCGCACCAGCAGCCTTCCAGGATGTCGCCTTCCAAGGGAGAGCCCCCCGGATCCGTCCCCCCAGAATCCGCCCCGCCGCAAGCGCCTGGCGGACCAACCGCCGACAGCGCAGAAAATCCGGCAGTTTCCGCTTCCGCCATGGTTTCCGCCGCTCCCCATTCCGGTTCACCGCGGGCAGCCAGGCGGGGAACGGCGGAGGAGGAGGGAGACGCTGCGCGGGAAAATGGTCAGGCTGCGCGGAGGGAGGACGAGGCGATTGATTTAGCGGGCGCGAGGCGGGAGAGTGGGGCGGCGGGATCGGCGCGATTGGTTAATAGCGGTTCGCCGGGTAGCGGAGTGAGGTACGGCGGGATGCGCGGGCGGTCGCTGCTGCAGCAGTGCCTCATTATGGGCGCGGAGCAGCGCGCCATTCGCGCCGTCTCCGCCGCTGGCGCCGGTGGTACCGCTGCTGCGGGTGCTGGCGGTAACGCTGCTGCTGTTGTTGGCAGCAGATATGATGCTGGTGCCGGCGGTAACGCTGACCCCGATGTTGAAGGGGAAGAGAAGAATGAGCAGGCGGAAAATGCTGAGAAGAACGACAAGAACGAGGACGAGAGGGGCGAGAGGTCTGGTGGTGATGCAGACGACCGTGCGGCGGGTTCGGGTCCGTCAGTGTTGAGATGGAGAGCGGTGGGGTGCGATGGCCGTCGGCTTGTCGACCGGCGTGACGTGCGGTCAGAGCAGGAGAGGGCGGCTCTTCGTGCTGCAGACTCGAATGCCCCGCACGGCTCTGCTCCACCGCTTTCACCTCCGCAGGAGGCGCCTGGAGAATTTGTCAGTGCAGCTGGTGCTGGGGTTCGTGCCAGCAGCGAGAGGGAGATGAATGGTGGTGGTACAGATTTTCCCAGCACGGAAATGCGTGGGCACGAGTCTCAGCAGCACGTTGGTGGGGCGTCGGGCGAGGTGTTCCCTCGCGAAAGCGAGTTTGCGAATCATGGCGACCGATTGTCGCGAGCTGATGTTACCACGGGAGGGAGGTCGTTCGTAGTTGGCTCGTTAGGCTCAACACTTACGGAACGCGTGAGTGTACTAGATCTCGAGAACAAACAAACAACGCGTGCGGACAATAGCGAGGATGGCGCAACCGAAATTGCGAATTCTGACGTACCCAACTCCAGCGGCAACAGCCGTTCGTCGTCGAATCTCGACAGTGGAGGCGCGGAGTCGAACGACGAAGGAACCGGTGAGGACGGATCGGGAGTGGTGGAGAAGGAGGAGGGCGCGCGAGAAGAGGACGGGGGAGAAAGCAGGCTATCAGGAAGAGTTGTGGCGGCGAGCAGCGCTAAAGACGGCGAGGATCGGCATGATACGAACCCGGGTGATAAGGGTGACAAGGGTAATGGGGGCGATGGGGGCGATGGTGACAATACACGAGCTTCGCAGACTGAACGAGCGGGGCTAACGGTAGAAGAAGGTGAGGCGTTGAAATCCCCCGCGCACGCGCAGCAGCCGTCATTTTTACCGGCGGGCGCGGAACGTAGGCGCGCGGAGCGTACGGGCACGGAAAGGGAGGGCGCAGAAGGTAGATACGCGGAAAGCAGCCCAGAGAAGGGCTCCGCTGGCTTGGTGCGGCCGCAGCCGCGTAGGGCGCGGAGCGGCGATGCAATCTCTCCGTCCTTCTCGATTCCCGCTTCCCCGCTTTTCGAATCGCCCCGCTCGGCGGCTTTTGAGCGGAATGCGCCCCGGTCCGCAGGCGAAGAGCGCGCGTCGGCGCAGGCGCCCCTGCTGCAGCCTGCAGCGAATGTGCGTCAAGTGCAGGCTGCGGCACAGTCACATTCGGGGAAGCACCAAGAGCATGGTGAAGCGGGGGGGCCGGTTTTCGAGTCGACTTCACAATTGAGTGGCGGGAGTGAGGCGGGTGGGAGAGGTGCGCGTGAGGAGGGCGTGACGTCAGACGAACCAGGGGCGAAGCGCACCAAGTCTCAGCAGTCTGGGGGAATTGGAGTGAATGCAGGAGGCGGAGGCGGGGGAAGAGGTGGGGCTGATTCGGGGAACAGACGTGGTACGAGCGGGACTGCAACAGCGGGTGGGAGTGGGTCCATTGTTCCTTGGCATCCCGGCAGCTCACCTGCAGCTGTTAATGGGCCTGCTTGTATGGGGTTTCCAGTGTACTCGCCCCAAATGCCCCCCATTGGCAGCTTCTTTGTAATGAGCCCTCTCACACAGCAGCATATTAGTCCCATGCAGCAGCATCAGCAGCCGCAGCAGATTCAGTTCTCCCTGCCGCAGCAGCATCAGATCTACCCAATGGCTCCTCAGCAATACTACGCTCTCCCGCCCCAGCAGCAGCAGTACATACGCCCCCCGCCGCATGCGCAATCCCCGCCTACGCGCCTGCCCCCACCAAGGCCCCTCCCCATGGTCGTGCCTTCTCCCCTTGGCCACACCTCCCAGCGGCTCTCAGGCTCTCGTGGGGTGCACGGGCAGCGCGGGCAACATGGCATGGGTACAGGGGGTCCTGTTGTTGCCGTCGCACCAGGAGCGTACTCCCAGCCTGCTGCTGGTGATGCTGCGGCTGCCAGTGGTGCTACCGGTGGCGCTGGTGCTGGTGCAAGTGGTGCTTCCTCAGGTGGTGCCTCTGAAGGCCGGGAACGGGGAGGAGAAGGGGGAGGGCGAGAAACAGGAGGCGAGGGAGAGCGAAGGGAGGGAGGGCGAGGGGGGGAAGGGCGAGCGGGCAAGGTGTCACGAGGAGCACGAACCCCGTCCCCTCAAACCTCTGCAAGCGCATCTCTGCGTCCTTCCCCCTTGCAGCCCCCCCCTCCCCCTGTCTACTCCCCTGCTGTCGCCTCCTGGTTGCCCTTCGCCCTGCCCCCTGCTGCCTCTGCTGCCCCGGAGGTGGGTAAACTACCTGTTTACCCTGTGAAGCCTGGGGTACACAAGGCACGTGTTGGGATGTGGAATGTTTTACCGGATGGGCATTCGTCACGCGAGCAGCAGCAAGCAGAGGGACAGCAGCGGCAGCAGCAGCAGCAGCAGCAGCAGCATCAGCAGCATCATCACCAGCAGCAGCAGCAGCAGCCGCCACAGGCGCAGGTTTTTCAGCAGCAGGCGGTGCTGGTGCCAAGGCCAACGGCAGTGCTGGGAAGTCAACCACAGATGCGAATGGCACCGATGGTCGCACCTGCACCACCACCGGCAGTAGCACCACCACAAGCAGCCACAGGAGCAGCTGCAGGAGCAGCAGCAGCATCCCGGCCAGTGTCTCTGGCGCTGTCTCTGCAAAGCACCAGCAGGAGCGGTGGTGGTACGACTCTTCAGTCCCTTGGGCCTCAACCAGTACCCAGGCTCGGCACTGCTGGGGGTCAATGGGCTCCCAGATACTCCCAGCCGACCGTTGCTTCTGGGGTGACTGCCCCCAGTGGATTTGCTTTGGGCGTGCAAGTAACGCCCCCTGGTGCGGTGCAGAGTGGTGCCGGAGGTGTTGTGCAGGATGGTGGTGTGGTGCAGAGTGGTGGAGGGGGTGTGGTGCAGAGTGGTGCGGCAGGTGTGGTGCAGTGTGACGCTGCAGGAGAGGCATGGAAGCAGAAGCAGCTGCAGGCGCATGAGCTGAGGCGAAAGAGGGTGGTGAAGATGCATCAGCAACAGCAACAGCAGCAACAGTATGTGCAATCCCCCACGCATTTCCCACAGTTGGCTGACTTGCAACAGCAGATTCAGAAGCAGCAGCAGCAGCAGCAGCAGCAGCAGCAGCAGCACGTGCAGACCCAGAGGCTCCAGCTGCCGACTCAGCAGCAGCAGCACCGCCGACCATCACAGCAGCAGCCCGGGCAGTTGCATGGGCAACAGCAGCAAGGGCTTCTGCAGGTGCAGCAGCAGCAGCAGCAGGTGCCAAGGCTTGTGGTGGGTGTGAAGCAAGAGATGGTTGAGCAGGGCAGGAGCGCAGACTGGCACTATCACCCACACTCACAGACAGCTAGGCAGGGAGACAACCAGGGGCTACCTGGCAGGCAGGGGCAAGCAACCCACACGCAAGGGCAGGGGGGAGTGGGGGGAGAGGCAGGGGCGGGGGGGGGCGCAATGGGGGGAGGGAGGGGGAGGGCAGCAGGCGGGCAGGAAGGAGGGAAGTCTGCGGCACCTGAAGAGGAAGAGGGCGTTGAAAGAGGTGGAGGTGGAAAGTGGGAGAGGGTCGGCTCTGAGGGCTTGTAGCAGCGAAGGGGAGTCGGGCGGTGGGCCTGCTTATCAGCAGCATTCGGGTGCTTCTCAGCAGAATGTGGGTGCTTATCAGCAGAATCCGGCTGCATATCAGCAAAATCAGGCTGCTTATCAGCAAAATCAGGGTGCTTTTCAGCAGCAAGTTCTTCCTGCTTATCAGCCTATCCTGCCGGCTTATCAAAACCAGCTGCCAGCTTATCAGCAGCAGACTCCTTATCATCAAAATCCAGCTGTTTTTCAGCAAATTCCGACTGCTTATCAGGGCCAACAGGCGGTTGGAGGGATGGAGGCAGGTGGCATTCCCTCTGACGTCATGGAGGGGAGAGAGCAAGAAGATGACGTCATGAACATGAACATTGAGTTAGAAGGATTGGGAGATGAGGGCATGTGCGGCCTGGGGGAAGGGGGGATATGTGGCATGGGGGATGGGGGAGGAGAGGGGGGAGAGCGGGGGGTGGGGGGAGGGGAGGAGGTGAAAGAAGCAGTGAGCGTGGCAGCAGCAGGGGTGGTGGGAGGAGCGGAAGGGGAGAGAGATCCCCCTGTGAAGTCGAGGTTCAGGGGCGTGAGTCATCACAGGTCAGTGCTGAGTCATCTCAGGTCGGTCCTGAGTCATCATAGGCTCTCTTCCTGTTGTCGCCTGGTCTTCCGGCTGTAGCTCTACCTCACTCTGCCGTCCATCCTCCCGTTTTTTATTTCAATTTACCTCACCCTCCAGGCTGACCAAGCGGTGGGAGGCGTCGCTATGGACCAACAAGAAGCAACTCTACCTGGGTGAGTGGGTGAGGGTGAGAGGGTGAGTGGGTGAGAAGGTGTGAGGGTGAGTGGGTGCGTGTACCAATCTCATTCACAAGTCCCTCCTATGTTTAGTGCTCACGCACATCGATCCCTGTCCTCACTTCACGCAGGTGGATACGACGCTGAAGAGAAAGCAGCACGGGCGTATGACATAGCAGCCCTGGCGTGCAAGGGAGCAGAGGCAATCACCAACTTCCCAAGGGAGAGCTATGCGGACAGCATTGGGGAGTATCTTGGGATCTCCTGCGAGGCGCTCATCGCGAAACTAAGAAGGGAGAGCTCGTAAGTTACAACCTTAGTGCTCTCGTGTGTCTCTTTTTTTCAACTTTGATACACAATGTGCAGGAAAAATGCAAGAGTTAAGACGATGCCTTAACAGTTATGTTGCCCTGCCCTTCTCCCGCTCCCATCGTCCCCCCTCCTCACGCGCTCAGGGCCTTCTCCCGTGGTCGCTCCAAATTCCGCGGGGTGTCAGGGCAGGAGGGGCGGTGGGAGGCGCGCATCGGGTCGTATTTCGGGCGGCGAAACGTGTCTTTAGGCGTGTATGAGACGGAGGAGGCGGCAGCAGAGCAGTACGATCGCGCGCTGATCATTCAGAAGGGGACAAGGGCCAAAACCAACTTCTGCATTTCCAAATACATTGCCGAGCACCTGCAGCACGTGAGTGTGAACTGTGGGTGTATCCGAGTGAGTATGAGTGTGAGTGCGAGTAAAGGTGTGAGTGAGAGTGAGTGCGAGCTGACCATTCAGGGCACGTGGGCTAAGACTAACTTCTACATCTCCAAGTACACTGCCGAGCACCTGCAGCACGTGAGTGTGAGTACGAGTAGGTAAGTTTACGACTATGACTGTGACCATTATTCTGGACAGCATGCGTCAGAACGGGTACGCTCGACGCCTTCGCTGTCTTGACTATTGTATGCACCTGTATCCACATGTATTCACATGTGTACATCCACATGTATGTACATGTATCCATGTGTATATTCACATGTGTGAATCCACATGTATGCACATGTTTATACACATGCCTGCTCGGGTACATGACTTGCATGGTGTTTCTCTTGTGGTGTCCTTTCAGGAGCAAGGGCAGGAGGGAGCGGTGTTTCCCAGCCAGCAGCAGTCGACAGGCAGCAGAGCATGTCTTTCCACCACCACAGGAGCAGAAGTCAACCCTTCACTAGCAGCAGCCGCATCACCACCATCGTCTGCTTACCCACTGTCAGCCGCAGTGGCAGCAGCTGCAGCAGCAGCCGCAGCAGCAGGAGGAGGATCAGCGGCTGCGGACGGGCATGGTGGGGTGAGGTTCGGAGGGGTGAAGAAGGGTCGAATCACTCCGGGGTTTGATGCGCTGTATCGCCGAGCAATGGCGGAAATAGTGGCTGGCTCAGCTTTGCCATTCCCTGTTGACGACCCAGAGGGTAGACCTGCTGTGGAAGAGTGACTTGAGTTGAATCAAAACATTCCAGGGTTTGATGCGCTGTACTGTGGAGCAATGGCGGAGATAGTGGCTGGATCAGCCCTGCCGTTTCCTGTGGACGAGCCAGAGGGTAGACCGGTTGTTGAAGAGTGACGGCCCTGCCCGGGTTGGGTTCGGTTGGGTTGAGCTGGGTTGAGTTGAGTGGCTTCAACGAGAGTGGCTAGTGAGGAGTTGCTTAGTGCTCCTCTGCTCCCTCTCGTTCTGCTAAAGATCCCGGCATTACTGTGGAGGAATGATTACTGCATGTACGTCTGGTTGGGAAGCTGAAGTGGTTTGTTGCACTGGGCTGAGCTATGGCTGACTGGCTTTCATTGACACAGTACCGTATGCCCAATGTGGCTGGCATTGTGCCCTGCCCAGCTCCTGCCCGGTATTTGCTGCTGAGGGGATGGCAAGCCTGCTGTGGAATGATGACTTCTCTGCAGATGTTGGTGGCATGGCAAGACAATAAGTCCTCATCCAGGACAGTTTCACTCACACCCAGGGGTTTTTTTTCGTTTTAGAGTACACTGGTTTCCAGAGGCGTTTTTGGCTGTACTCTGAAATTCAGAGTGTTTGGTGAGCCTTCCTCTTAAATGTCAGTGTAACACAGGCTGTCAGTTTAAGAACCCTGGCACCTCAGAGTAGTTTTTATCATTAAAACCGAAATATAAAATAGTGAAGGCGGATCCAACTTGAAATCGTGCTCGGAAGAAGCAAAACTGGAACGACGATGGGCTGTGTAAAACACTGTTCTGGGCATCGCCCTTCCACAGACTGAACACACGTGATTCGTTCCCACCAAAAAAAAGAAATCAGATCGTGCTCGCGCGTTCGCATTTTCTGCATGCGACATTTGCACGACAGTTGTTTGTCGTGCGTTTTGATGGTTGGACCCGACTTCGACTTTCAAGCTGGGCCTGGGTTCCACATATGCTTACTTCAACTCCATTCACATAGCTTGCCTAACTCACGGAGCTTGCCTAGCATAGAATAGCCAGAGACGAGGGATTAGGCTGATGCGGCATAGAAATGAAATTATCATTAGATTGTTTGTGATACTTCGTTGCCGTTGCTGCGTAGTGATATTTTCCTCGCGAGCACAGAGAACCCCATTCCCGTCGCCATTCCTCTCACCCCTCTCATCGCCCACTATGCTATCCTCGAGTTCGCCAAATCGCCCACCCGTCTCCCTTTCCGTCACGTCGCCATCTCGTCGCCTGTCCCGTCGCCCTCTTCGTCGCCCTCTCTCCCCTCCTCTCCTCCCGTCGGCCTCTCTCTCGCCCCTCCCTACCGATCGCCCTCCCGTCGCTCGCCCCGTCGCGCTCTCTCTCTCTCCGCTCCCTTCCCGTCGCCCTCTCTCTCGCCCCTCCCTTCCCGTCGCGCTCTCTCTCTCCGCGCCCTTCCCGTCGCCCTCTCTCTCGCCCCTCCCTTCCCATCGCTCTCTCTCTCTCCGCTCCGCCCTCTCTCTCGCTCCTCCTTCGAATCGCGCTCTCTCTCCGCTCCCTTCCCGTCGGCCTCTCTCTCCGCTCCCTTCCCGTCGCGCTCTCTCTCTCTGCTCCCTTCCCCTCGCCCTCTCTCTCGCCCCTCCCTTCCCGTCGTGCTCTCTCTCTCCGCTCCCTTCCCGTCGCCCTCTCTCTCGCCCCTCCCTTCCCGTCGCGCTCTCTCTCTCCGCTCCCTTCCCATCGCCCTCTCTCTCGCCTCTCCCTTCCCGTCGCGATCTCTCTCTCCGCTCCCTTCCCGTCGCCCTCTCTCTCGCCCCTCCTACCCGTCGCGCTCTCTCTCTCCGCCCCCTTCCCGTCGCCCTCTCTCTCGCCCCTCCCTTCCCGTCGCGTTCTCTCTCTCCGCTCCGTCCTCTCTCTCGCTCCTCCCTTCAAATCGCGCTCTCTCTCCGCTCCCTTCCCGTCGCGCTCTCTCTCTCCGCTCCCTTCCCATTGCCCTCTCTCTTTCTGCTCCCTTCCCATCCTCCCTTCTCGCTCGCCTCGAATAGCCCTCCCGGCGACCTTCGACTCTCCCATCACGTATGCCCTCCTTTCTCCGTCGCCTCTCTCGTTCTCCCTCTGCTATCGCGTCAGCGTGACCCATTCCGTACTATGTTATTGTGTTTGGTTTGTTTGTTTTTTTGGTCTTTCCATCTATTCTCGACACCCTCTCTCCCGCCGCCTATCCTCTCTTCCGTCGCCCTCCCATTTCCCGTCGCCCTCCCGTTTCCCGCCCCCCTCCCGTTTCCCGTCGCCCTCCCTTTTCCCGTCGCCCTCCCGTTTCCCGTCGCCCTCGCGTTTCCCGTCGCCCTCCGGTTTCCCGTCGCCCTCCCGTTTCCCGTCACCCTCCCTTCTTCCGCCGCCCTCCCTTTTCCCGTCGCCCTCGCGTTTCCCGTCGCCCTCCCGTTTCCCGTCGCCCTCCCGTTTTCCGTCGCCCTCCCGTTTCCCGTCGCCCTCGCGTTTCCCGTCGCCCTCGCGTTTCCCGTCGCCCTCCCGTTTCCCGTCGCCCTCCCGTTTCCCGTCGCCCCCCTTCTTCCGTCGCCCTCTCGTTTCCTACGCCCTCCCTTCCCGTCGCCCTCCCGTTTCCCGTCGCCCTCCCTCTTTCTCTTCATTCGCGTCACCTTGCCCATCATAATTTCCCCCCTAGTGCTGTTTTTCTCTTCTGTTTCCCGTTATTGCACCTCTCCCAGGCCTCAAGTCCAAGGCAGCACATTGATCAGAGCTCTACTAGCTCTAATAACGTTCAAACACTTTCTCTCTCATCACGTACATGTGTGTCTGCTTGGGATTTAGCGTGAGATGTTGCTAGTTGTGAATTTGATGAAGTATTGGCTCTAGTGAATGCAGGAGTGCTCGTCGCTCAACTTTGCGCCAAATTCGCACATGTACATATGAGAGAACATGGCTGCCAATCAGAATTGACAATGAACTATTGTTCCTGGTCCAATAAGAAACTCGTCCGAGGGTCGGAAAAAAAGCACACATACAGCAATTCCAACATTCCAAAACAAAACAAAAATACTTCATCTTCAAGTGGACCCGACTAGAAGGGGGGGGTCACTATTTTGCCTGCTGGCTTTAACCCTATTGTGTGTGTACGCGTTGGTTCTTGTGCTGTTGCATAGTTAGAAATGTAACAAATATAATTCCTAGACACGTTGTACACAATGTCCTATCCTATCCTACTACTATGGCTCACTCATCCTCTGCCACGTCAGCCTCCTCCTCGTCGTCCGCACTGGCCTTAGGCTTGTTCTTGTCAGCCGCTGGTTGGAAGGGTGCAGGGGATTTTGTCGGCCGCCTCTTCTTGTGCTTGCGCCAGATGTCCACGACATCTGGCCACTCCACGTTGTAGTCGAGCATGTGGATGCTCATGAGTTCAGTGAGCCGCGTGTCGTTGAGAGTCGTGCGCTGCCAGCTCTTGATGATGTTCTGGCGTGAAAATCCACGCTCGCATTCGACGGTGCTGAGTGGCAGGACGGCCAACGCCTGCCACAGGGTCATGATGTTGGGGTAAGTTCGCGGCCAATCGCGTGACCTCAGCATGTTCGTCAGCGCCTGGTAGAAGTCCTCGTCCTCGTGGTGCGTCCTCATGATGTGGCAGAAAGTTTTCAGTTCTAGTTCGGCTGCCCGCAGGTCGAATCCTGCCAACACAGTATGAACAGCACAGGGATTTCGTTGTACGGGAACTTTCGGTAGACATTTACACAAGGCATTTTTAGAAGAAAAGCAAACAAACACGAACGAAATTAGATTTCCAAATACCTGGCAGCTGGTGGCTGAAGAGTTGTGAGTTCTCACGGAGCCATGTGGCACATCGTCTCGCATGCGTGTCCGGATTCGATGGCCACTTGTCCACCCTGAACAGCTTCATGCCGCCCATTCGACAAAGATCTCGCATGCGGTGCTTCAGGTTGTACACGACCTCACGGGCAAACGCCTTGCCCATCTTCACGCAATCTGCCAAGGACCCGCCGAACTTGTGCTTTTTGTCCGGCAACTCGCTGAGCTCGAAGGTGTGCCTGACGGGTCTACCGCTAGCGTCCACACCGTCCACCTTCACCTTCTTGTCCCCTTTCTTGACCCGTGCCATGAATGGAGACAAGTGGGTGCTCAGACCCGCCCCGAAACCACCCTCGTAGTCGATGTAGCGGTGCTCGATGAGGGAGACCACACGGTCGACCTCCTCTGTGACTTGCGTCACCTCCACCTGCCAGACCGACACGGGGTAATTTTTTTTTGTTAGTCTCTGCGTTAAAAAGAATAATGAACACAGTTAAACGTGTGTATCAACAAGCCTTTTAGGCCCCATTTACCTTGCATCGTTGGAAGAAACGATTCAGGGAGTTCAACTCCCCCAAAATGTCTGCCAGGAAGTACAAACAGAAATGAAATTTCAGGGTCTTCACAACCACGACGATCTTGTGATTGTACTCCAGGAACAGCACGATTGCCGACCCCAAAATCTTGACAAGACGGTTGACAGCATCGGCACGGGAGAGCCAGCGCACGTCGAACAGTCCCTGGTGCTCGAGGTTGGTGCTGTGGATCACGAGTTGGAGCTCTTTGAACCTCTCGTACCACGGCGTGGATCTCCCCATGATCTCGCCAACTGCACGGATGGCCTTGTCTACCATCCCAAAATCTTTGAACTGCTCGTCACCGGCAGTCTCCTTCACAGCAAGTGCTTCGCTGCAAGCAAAAGTTGGAAACAATGAATAAGATAGTTACATGAATAAGTTGGAAACACAAAATAACGTTAAACCAGACACTCTATTTCGCAGGCAAGACAAACGTACCGATGCGCAATGCAGTGGCAGCCGACAAGGTGGGGAACGTGGACTCGCAATCGTGTGACGAGGCCGGACGTGCCCCCGATCATCACTGCCGCGCCGTCCGTGGACATTCCTGAAATCTTCTGCAAGTCGATGCCCACCGTCTCAAGATGCTGGAGTAGTGCGTTCACGAGCGATGCTGCATCACACTGCTGGACGGTAAGTAACGTGAGGAACTTGGTTACAACCACGCTGTTCTTGAGGAACGTGACAAACATAATCATGTGTTTGCCACGGGCTCGATCGGTACTCTCGTCGCACATGATGCCGATGAAGGGCGAAGCGTGGAGGTGGCGCAATTGTTCTCTGGTCAGATACACGGCGAGAGCCCTGGCCATCTCGGAGAAACCGTACCTGCGCAGACACATAGCACAACGCATTAGCATACATAAACATAAACGGTTGCTTCAAGAACAACAGAGACAACAACAACTCACTGTGTGATGCACGCTCCATAGCTATGTCGCGGTATGTTGGCGACCCCCTCCTCTGCGAGAAGCTGCACGATCTGTGGGTACATGTGGATGGGTGTATCGGTACGGCACACAAATCGCATGGCTCGCATGAGTACCGCGACACGACAGCCTTCTGGATCTCCCTTCGCGAAGTCTTCAATCTTCTTCTGGTCGGCGATCTTCTGCAGAAGGTTCGCCTGCTTGTTCATCGCGTCCTCGTGCTTCGCGCTGTTCTCGTGCCACCGCATGGACCCGATCTGCAGATCACGACCACCAGCGCCATTGCGACCGTAACGCGCGTTGTCCTTCCCGTGCTCCGTGCAGACACTGCAGCGCAGACACGGGTCACCCTCAGGGGTCCTGTCCAGAATCAGCCAGTCAAACTTCGGTAGCCAATCAGACGTGTAGCTCTTCTGCGCCTTCAGGTAGGCCTTCTCCTTCTTCTCCTCGTCTGAAAGGGGACGAATGGGGGGTGGGGCAGGACGGGGAGGTGGAGCGAGAGGCTTCGGCGGCGGTGTTCCCCACTGCAAAACCTGCTGCGTTAATCGTCACTTCTTCACAGCGACTGAACCAGTCGACTCAGTAGTGGCCGCATCGACAACCTCCGTTGCAACCGTTGCAGCCGGCTCTACAGCAACCTCGTTTCGCGGCGAGGCGATCCACTCCTCAACACCGTCTGTCTCAGCAGCGTCATTCATCGGGCGCGGAGATGGACACCAATCGTCGTTCGCATCTTCCATGTCGCCAGATTCCTTCCGTGGACGTCGCATCCATTCGGTACCGCCATCGCCCAGCGCCTCTTCATCGCGAACGTAATCTTCACGCACAGAGCGGAGGAACTGAAGCCCAGTCGCAGGGGGTGTGCTACATGTCGGCCTGTCGTCGGCATCAGCCGCGTCTCCCTCGGCGTCGCTAGTATCCATGGTATTGACAGCACAAAAAAGGTGCAGGAGGAGGAGCTGTGGCTGGAGAAGCCCACTACACACTCGCTATACTGAAACGTTGAAGAGCAGTGCAATGGGAAGAAACATAATGGGAGGACAGGATGGGGTTTGGTGGTGACCCCGTCTGTCAGCCGAGCAACATGTGTGAATGTGCGCGCCGCGCACGAAACCATCGCACCAAAGGAAGCTGCCGTGTCATGCCCGAAAGTAGGAGTTGTTCATTGCTGATGGGGTACGCAAAGCCAGCGATGTATCTGGTGGGTGGCCAGATGCGTGCGTTGGCACGAAATATGCAATTCCGGCCAATCAGAACCTCAAGTAGTGCCAACACACGAGCGAACCAAGACTGATATCCCCTGCGCTCCGGTCAAAACCGGCAACGAGGGGATAAGGGGGAACGTGGGGGTTCGGGGGTACATGTATCCCCCGTACAGAGTAATCTCACTATCCGAGAAAGTAACACTGGCGCTCCAGAGTGAACTTAAACAAAAACCCTGACTGATCAGAGAACAAGTAACTCTAAAAAAAATTACGGTACCCAGGAGGTACAGAGTGACCCCCCAGAAACCACTCTGATTTTCAGAGAAACAGAGTAAATTACACTGATAAAAAAACCCCGTCAGACCATCATGATACCGTGCTTCCAATACAGCGTTACTGTAAGGCATTGGAGAAGGTATTGTGCATTTTTTTTGCTGCCTGTTAGATTTACAAACTACGGTGGTTTCCTAATGTACGGTACATATGGTTATTAATTTTGATAAGCACTGCTCAATACACTATTGCACAAATGGTGGACTTTGAGTGTTTTCTCCTGTAGAAAGTGGTACAGCCAGCTACCATATGTTGCTAATATTGAGTCATCCATATACGTAATGAGAAAGGATGATGAGATTGATGCTGGGTAGTTCCAACACTGCTGCTTCTACTTCCTGCTTGTGTATCCCAGTGCTACTAAACCATGAAAAAGTTCCACGTTGCCAGTATGGTAATCCCCAAATGCTTATTCTCCTTCCGCCTTGAGTATAGGCACCACAAGGGGATGCATCTGTGCCATGTACACAATCGCCCACCTGTCACATTCAGGTTCAAGCACATAAAATCAGATGCTCAATGAGACAGAGATACAGGAGATGCAGGATTAAGCAAATATGACGCATGAATACAGACGATAAGGGAATTTGCTGATGAGAGGACTACAATACGTTATCCAGGCACATGACACACACTCAAACATGCAACCTGGCCGCATGGGACTCAGAAACGTGATTTAGGCATGAGACACATAATTCAGGCATGGGACACATGAATAAGGCGTGAGACACATGAATCAGGCATGATGAGAGACATGGAGGGAGGGCGGAAATGGTGTGGGGAGCATAAGCAGGCTGGGACGTTGTT